TGATCTATCTATGTCCTATTGTCTCTCGTTCAGTCTCTCATCCCTGCTCCTATTCAGCCCACATTGATAGTCTCCATTGCCATTCTTTCAAGCAAAGTCCTTGCCCTTGGGAAGAGCTCTCCATAAATATCTTTGAACCCAGCGCATTATCTTCCATCAAATTGCTTCATAAGGACCCCTGCTTTCATAAAACCTTGACAACTGTCATGCTGCTGGAGTGCTGAGATCCTGATAAGCATGACTGTCTTATTCCCTTGCCCTCTAGGTCTGTATCTACCCACTTCGCTTGCAAGCGCTTTAGGGCAAGGATGCTTTTTGTGTGCTGCATTTGTACAGCACCAAGCACAATGGGAGTTCATCATGAGGGCTCCTAGACTCCGTGGTCAGACTGCTAAATGACTGGTGAGCTGCTAAAAAGCGTCTATTATAGCGCTAGTGGAGATCTAATTTCACAAGTGTGAACAACCGAGATTTTGGGAACCCCAAGGTTATGCAGCAACTTCATCTTACCGGCTACAGCAAGGCACCCAATTGTCGGAGCATTGAAATGGCTGGGACCGCTCCTCTTTGCTTCCATGCATGCAGGACTTGAACACTAACGGCAGGTATTCATGGTGTTCAAGCATGTGCAGCGGCAGCAAAAACGAGGTTGTGTCTATTGTGATGGAAGTGTGCGGTTACCAGCTGCTGCATTTAAAATGTGCCATGCTTAATGCCAAAGGACTGCATTTCCCTTGTCATCCATCGCAGCTGCTGCAAGATCTGGCTAATTAGTACTCAGCGCATGCCTGAAGGTACCCATCATCTCAGGAATGACAGGTGAATTTTCTGACCTTTCCTTTAAAAGCATAGGACGTACTTTGCATTCCCAATAAGCCTCTCTCCCTTTCCGGCTCTATCGCTTCTTCCTCCATGTGAAAAATGATTTAATGTCTTGTAAAATTAATTCTCTGTTATGGATCACCTTGATTAAATGGCCCAGCACTGTGCACTACATGTGACAATGTCGCGGTGGCACAGATGCCTTCATCTCCCAAAAGGAAAGTTCAAAAAGTCACACTTGCAGGCAGCCACTGGGACAAAATCTTAGAGACTTGGATGCTACAAAGGTAAAAGATTAGCCAGGCTATTGGGGAACATCATCTATGATCTTCAAACCTATATATGCAATTGCCAGATTCTATAACGACTGACAAAAAACCTCAATTAGCTCTTTCAAAGTCTTTCTGACCGGAGACTAACCACAGCTGATCAGCGAGAGGTTTCCAAATCTCTGCGGGGTTTTGAAAGGTGTATGATGGTGCATGTCCCTTGAAAACTTTGGGCCTGATTTGGGCCATGTGTACAGCTCCAGGTGGGCTCTTGACCTCTGTAAACCTACCCCATGTCATCGCCTTTACATCCTACATGAGATGTTTGTCCACCAGGCTTTATGACATAAAAACCTAAGATGGCACAAAGACACATAAAATGCTCTCCAGACAATGCAAGCGAGTTATCCTTATGGTACCCATACGCTTGGCATATCGTTATTACCAGATTTCCAAATGCTCTGGATTTGGGTTTGTGCTTGGTATATGCAACTAGTTCAGTTAAACTACCAGTTAAGCTGTTTTGCATGCTATGGGAAAATGCACTACCTTTGGGGCTTGATCCCCCTATAATAGGCAAAAAAAAAAAGGCCTTTTGCTGATGTCAGAGAGTGCAGGAATGGGCACCAAATGCCTTCACAGTGTGTGTGTATGTATGTAAAAAGAACCATGTATTTGGGCATTGGGCTGCTGAGCCAACGCGGTCCATGTCCCTGCGTGTCTTTGGAGTCAGCATCGCCAATTTACTCTTGTTGGCAACTTTGTTACAGTGGTTGCAATGGATGATGAACATTTCCAAAAGGTGTCCCATACTGTACACGGCCCCTGGATATTTCAGCATCTGTGCACCTGAAATGCCAAGTAAATATCCCATTTAATTGTGTGACTGGGACAAATGCATGCCAAGGTCCCTAATCTTCTGGGTCCTATAGAGACATATTGAGCTGACAGCTCCTGCCCCAAAGAGGTTACAGTACAAATCGAGAAGTCAAAGAAATGTAGGGGAAACTGAGGCGCAGAGGCGAGATGACTTGTTTGAGATCACAGGGCAAGTCGGTGGTAGAACCAGGGGCAGGATGTATTTTTCCAGACCCTGGCTGATGTGTTGCTTGCTGGGCTGATACGATTGTTGTGTAGCTATTGCTGCAACAAGCCATTCATTTCTTTCTCGGAGGCTGCTGCTCCGTGCTGTTTGCGAGACACCGAACACGGGGCCCGCGGGGGTGTAGCTAGAAATGTGCCAAACACTAGCATCAGCCCACAAGCCTATTCCAACCAGGCCATTGGTATGAGTCTTCATAGTTTCCTAGTAGTTTCCTAGTAGTTTCCTAGTAGCTAGGGTCAGGAGGGACCTGAACAGATCATCTAGCCTGCCCCTCTTGCCGCGATGCACTTTTGGTGCTGACGTTCCCAATGCACTCAAGCTGAGGTTGCTCTCCTAGCAGGAAGGCTAGTACCTCTCCGTCCCCCCCAAACATGTGCTGGGGACAGCACCGTTATGCGGGAGGAAGGGGCGAGGTGGACGAGTGAAAGGCATTTCCTTTATAAACTCGTTCCCCCACCTCAAACCTCATTCCAAGTCCACAGACATGCATTGATCCCAGCCCCGGGGAAAGACCTTGTAGGGTAGCAAGCCACCCCGGTCCCCTTTACTCAGCCCTCTCTGTCGCCTGTCCAGAAACGCCACACCTGCACACATTAAAAGGATGATGGCAACAAAATAAATAGCTTGAATACTTGGCATTTGCTGCATAAATGAACATGAAATGAATATTGGATGAGTTAAGAGCATTTATCAGCTTGGGAGCCAGCTGCGAAGAGCAGAGCTAAATTCATAAGTGCTCTTGTTCCCCACAGACCCTCTGACGGTCCAGCGAGGCTTCCTTGCACTGATTTAGTGCTGCCCTTCCTGCAGCTTTTGAAAAAACAAGCCATTAACAATTAAAGCAAGGCCTGGCTAATTATTTATTGCGTGCTTTTGTTAATGCACCAAAGTGTGTTTTAAAACAAGCGGGAGCGTATTTCGCAGCAAGGCTTAACTCTGTTAATTCCTTGAAAGAGTTCGGGCCGGTGGGGGTGCTCAGGGAAGTTGAATATGAATTAGCCTTTGAAGTCAAGCAGATTTGAACCTTGGTGAGCAGCTTTCTTCAGACGTAAATTCAAGTGGAAAGGACATCTCTTCTGGAGGCGAATGACGCACAGTGAAAGCCAGCATCACCTTTAATCCCTGATGTGAACTAGGACCCCAGTGTGCATGGTGCTGTACGCCTTGGCTGCTTGTCTTGTAAACAGGGAAGACAAGGCCCCCGCCACCCTTTCTGCTACAGGCTGGGGACTTCGACTGGGCTGTGCCAGTGCTCCTGCTGGGACCCAGGATGCCCAGAGGATCATGCCCTTCAGCTCAGGCTCAGACCAATGTCATATTTGAGGTCAGGAAGGAATTTGACCCCATGGTCAGACTGGTGTTGGGGGGGGATGCCTTCTACCGGGGGTCTCTTGAGCCTATATTGACACTGCATAGAAGCAGGACTTGGCCTGCCGTAGTCCCCCTGCTTCATCCGTGGCATTTTCGGGTGTGAGGTCTGTGTCATGTTAGGGTTGCCGGTTGACTTATGTACAGTTTAGATGATGGTTTGGATGGGGCTGATCCTGCCTCAGATGGACTAGACGCGATCTCCAGGGGTCCCTTCCAGCCCTGCGGCTCCTGAACGCTCTCTGCCGAGGCTGGGAGGGCAAGTGCCTGCTCCGAGCTCCCGTGCTCATCGGCAGCTGTCCCGTCCCCCCGGCCCGGTGCGCTACCAGCCAAGCTGCCCGGGCTCCCGGACCTCATTGAAGACTCAGCCATAGCATGATCCTGACCCCTGTCCTATGGGGCAGCTGTGCCAGTCCCAATGCAGCAGGAGAGGGTCCAGACGGCCCGTCCAGCTGTGCAGAACCCCAAATGCCCCTGCCTCCATCTCCCTGCTTTCCAGTGGTCTGGTTTAGGATGATACCCCAATAACCCCCCACCCCCACTCCCCAGGGCTGGACTTTCTGTGGCGAGGCCACTGCTCTGCATGAATAGATCTGGGGTTTTCCTTGATTTCCTAGATTTTTTTTGCAAAAATCTAGTTGGTCTAATAAAAGATATATATCACCTCTACCACTCCTTTTGGGGTTTCCACTAGCTAGGTGCCTCAGTGGACTTGATCCCAGCCTTAGCAGCCACCCCTCTAGGGAACTGCAATGGCAGGGCAGGAGTGGGGGGCGGGGTGGGGGGGGCAGCATCCAGCCAGCATCCCCTGGGCTTGCTGCAAGGTGCATGGAGGTAAAGCCCCAGCCGAGCAACTCCTATGCAACCAAATTGGCAGCTGCCCCCTGGGACCCCTTCCGCAGGGCTGAGGCTTGCAGAGGAGGGGGGCAGCACCCCCAGGTCCCCTCGGCTCCAGAGCTGGGCTGTGGTTCGCTGGCAGGCGGCTGCGGAGGGAGGAGGGAGGGATGGATGGAGGGAGGGAGAGGAGGAGGAGGGAGCATTGCAGAGGCAGCCGGGCTGGCCAAGGAGCTCCAGCTCCCCCCCAAGTTGGCTTCGCTCTGCAGCTGGGAGCGGAGTCCGGAGCCCCCTTTCCCGGTGCATGGAGCAGGGCACTGCCGGAGCCCCTGGGCTGCAGCAATTTGCTTAGCAAGAGAGGTAAGGGCAGCTCTCTGCTTAGCCGCGGCATTGAACTTGGCCCCTATTCAGGGACCTGGTGAGGGGGTGGGGGGAACCTGCTTCTACCTGCTCCTGGGAGGCTGCAAAACCTGCAAGGGTTGGGGTGGGGGTGTGCATGCCCTCTGTGCTCCCCTGCCTTGCTTTAGGGAGAGGGGCATGCCAGTGCCAGTCCCCCCCCCCCCCCCCCGCTCTTCCCCGCTCACCTTTTCGAAGACCCCGACTTGCGGAAGCTGCTGAACGAATCCTCCATGCTGAACCTGAGCTTCCCCCCCAGCTACTGGTTTAACAACGGCACAGGGGACAGCTTTCTGCCCCTGGGCATGAAGATCACCATTGTGGTCGTCTACTCCATCGTGTGCATAGTGGGGCTGGTGGGCAACTGTTCGGTCATGTATGTGATTGTCAGGTAGGCGATGCTAACATCTAACCAAGCGTCCTCCCCCAGGAGCTGCTGTTCCCCCTGGGGAAGGAGGGGCCCAGGGGTCCTTGCACGGCTGATGGGAGCAAGTCAGAGCCCTGGGTGGTGCAGATACTGCTTGGGATTGTTGCTCCCTTCCAAGTTTTATAGGCTTGGGACTTTGGGGAAAGAGGGTGTCCCCCCCCCAGCCCCTTCCCAGAGATGGTGAAGGCTTGTGTCCACTATTCAGCAGCCCTCTGGTGCCTCCTAAAGGAAACAGAATTAACCCAGAGCCTGGACCAGAATGGTAAAAGAAAATGCATCGGTAGAATAAACTCACTGCAGCTGGGAAGGTGCTGAACTGGATGTGTCAGCAGCAAGAGCTAAGATCTGGGGATGGTTAGGTAGCCGGCTATGAAGGCCCTTGGCTTAGAGCATAGACACGCTCTCAGGACTGCTGTCACTAGGAGATTGTCCCCTTCGCTGTGTCCATACGCTGCACGGCTTCAGCGTTTGCACCGGGACTCAAAGGCATCCCCTTTGGTTTGGCCCACGTGGAAGGGAAATGACAGGCAGGGTAGCTCTCTGCTGGGTATCAATCCCAGCATAGCTAGTCACTCTATTAAATGCCAGGTGAATAAAATATCACCCAGCATTGCAGAGAGGAAGGCGACCGTGCTAGCTGCAGTTGAGTGTCTGGCTCTGGTGGTATTTTGCTATAGCACAAGGGCTTTTTTGTAGCAGGGTGGAGCAACGAGCAGATGTCACCCCTGCTGTGGTCCAGGTCCCAGCGTTTGCAGCAGTGGTTTGGATGGGTGTCTAGGAAAACACACCTTTATTTTTTGCTTTCTGTTATTTTTCTCCATGAATCCGGAGCAAATCTTTCCTTTAAAAGTTTGCAGCATCCGCAGCAAAAACCTGCTGTCGGCAGAAACGACGCGTCTATTTGGACTGCTTGTTTTCAGATTTAGCTTTTGACCTCCCCCCCGCTTACATGTAGGAGGGCAATAACTCACGTGCAGAACTGCTCACTCAGGGGAGTGCATGGCTCACAGCCTGCCCTGGCACGGGCAGAAATAAATCTAGGGAGAACATGATTTATTTGTAAAAAGTCGTATTATTTTTCCCCTCCTTGCAAACCACTCGCTGCATCTTGCATTCATTTGAAGCAAGGCTTATTCCTGTGAGAGACCCCACTGGCTTCAGGGACACAGCCCCTGGCAGCAAATGCCACTAAAAAGCTCAGTCATTAGGTCTTTGAGGAAAGGGCAAAGTTTAGGGGCTCTTATGTGGCAGCCTCAGTGGTGTTGCTACAGGGGAACTTATGCCCGGACCCTGTAGTAGAGGGGTACCCATCTAGGACCATACGGCAGCAGTTGTCCATTTACATGGCCCCTTGCAAAGGTTTTGGTGTTCAGATAACCCTTGCTTTCCTGATTCCTTTCATGCCATCATTGGCATTATTATTTAGTACCACTTGCTTAGCTGCTGGTAAGCAGCAGAGAAGACCAGGCTGGCTGATCTCCCAACCCTGCATTGCTTATACATGCCCCAGGATCCATCCGTCTCCAAGCCCCTTGCTTCCTCCATCCTGTGCCAGAGGCTAAGCCATTGCTGTGGGTGGTGGGAGGGAGGAAGCTATGGCATTTCACTTCTTCCCCATCTACCCAGGTCCATCGTGCTGCCCCAATGTGGAAAAGGGGCACATCCCCTGAGCCTCCTGTGCCCCCTGGTCCCTTGGCTGTCTCCCCCAGGGCCTTCATGGCACGACCCATCTACCAGTGAAGCATCACATCCATCCACAAATTGAACCCTGTGAGCAGCTGAGGGGAGTGCACTGGCACACGCGTGGGCTGACGGAAATGGGATGGGGGGAAGCATTTGGAAGAGGCATCTCATAAAGAGAAATGCGACCCGGCGGCGTTCATTAAGGGCCATGTTTTCAAAATGGGGAGCCTCATGTGGTCCTCTGTGAAGCACCTGCATACCGCGCAGTCAAGCTTTGCAAAGCCTGGCTCAGGGGGGGTGCGTAGGGGATGCACGCAGAGGGGCTGCAGGCAGGATTTCCACCTCCGAGCAGCCACAGAAGGTCCAAGCTGCAGCCCCGTGGGGTTGGGACATTGGGTTCGGTGCCTGGGGACCCCGGGAGGGTCCCACACAAAATCTGCATGGTGCAACTTGGTCATGTTGGAAGGGGAACGGCCTCTAGAAATCTCAGCTTGGGCTGCAAAGAATTTCATGCTATGCTACCAGGTACAGTAATTTAATACAAGGCTGTGCTTTCGACTAACAACAGAGCATCTGGAAGTCAGCCGTTTGTTGCTCCTTGACTGGTCACTGTCAAATTAACTGGATTCTCTCTGCCTACCTTTAGGGCAGTTCATGCTTAATGCCAATGGAGAAAACCAGACTTTCTGCTTCCTATCAGTTAGGCAGAAAAGCAGGGGGGGGTGGGTCTTTGCTAGTCCTGATCCCTGCCTGCCCAGTGCTGTAGCAGGGAACCTCAACTATATGCCGGCTGGAGTGAAATGACAGTGGAGGGTGATGAGAGCCATCAGGAATGAGCTTTTATCCATCTGTCCCCAGTAGCACTGATAGGACAGCCCCTGCTGTGATGCAGAGATATCGAAATGGTTCAGGTGGACCAATCACTTGACCACTGGGGCCCAACAAAAATCACCGACCAAGCAACCACTCCCCAAAATACATCCAGGGTATTTTGACTCAGAGCTACCTTTGCAATCTCCACTTCACTTCCCATAACACTAGGTAGGGCAGCTGCAGACTAGGTCCCCTTAATCTAGTGCCCTAGGTAGCATGGAAGTATTGGCACAAGTCTGGGCCTGGCAGGTCACCCACAATTGCTGTTCGGAGAAGTTGTGTGTGTCTTTAAGTAAGCACCTTTGCTACCCTTCTCTGGCAAGAGGTATATATCCATGCTGCATATCCTCTGTACTTGACTCCTCCCTGAGGACTGGCTTCATTAGTGACTCAGCTAACAGGGATGAATGCAAAATAAGCCTCTGCCTAAGATTTCTCATTAAACTTGGTACTTCTTACAGCTGCCCTGCAGGACTTCTTGTATTGCAGCTCCCAGTTTCCTCTCCTGCTTGAGACACTTCAACCTCGCAGGTATCCTAGGTCGGTATAATGACTCAGCACCGTGAATCAGCAGTAAAGAGTAGAAAGAAGGGTGTCACATGCAACACCCGGCTGCCTCAGTGAAGCCCTGCCTCCCCAGGGAGACCCTCAAAATCGACTCCTTTCCTACAGTCTCATTCCTACCCCTAAGCAGATAGAAAGCTGCACAGAATAAATCAGTTTGGTGACTGGCAAATTATGACATCTATGCTCCTGGAATCATGTCTCTCTTTCCCCTGTGCTAAACCAAAAAGCACTCTGCTGCAGCGGTGAAGAACATCTTAAACTCCTTAATGCTGGTTCTTTCAAGAGACAGCATCTCAAGGTCTCTCCCATATATAATTAAAATACCAAACATTTATAGAGACTAATATTGGCTTTGTGCATCAACCCTTACTTTTAGCAATGCTTGCAAACAAACACGCTACACAGAGTGGCACAGACCTTGCTTTTAGATCCACCCTTTTGCTCTGGGGACATGGAACACAATGTACCCATATGCAATGCATCTATTTTATAATATCTTGGCTGTGAATCATAACAAGGAATCGGAGAAGATAGAAATGAATAAGATGTCATATAGCACCGGGGCTAGCTCTCTGCCAGTGTGGAAATGCTTGGTTCAGTCTAGCATTTTCCTCAGTGTGGTTTTATGCAGTCTGAGAGAGGGAGGGTTGAACTTGAAACATTTCCAGACCTGCACGTCTCTTACTTTTTGGGAGGTTTGCTGCTGTGGGTTTTTTTTAAGCAACAGCTTCCTTTTTTTTTGTTTGAACCTTGCTTCCACCTCTGCTCCCAGAGAGATGCAACCTGGTTAAAAACGATCACGCTCTGTTTTTAAATAGTATGTGTTGAATAGTTGTGTTGGGGAAACCATTAGCAGTGCTAATGGTTTCCGTCTTCCTTTCTCCTCCTCATCCAATATCTGCTGGTAGTTCAGGCTTCTAGTTTTAAACTAGTATTACTAGATAATAGCCAGGGAAAGAACAGAAGTCCAGCAAGTAAATGAAACTGCATCTATTGTGTCTGTCCAGGAGTTTGTTCCAGTTTCTTAGTCTTACATCTCTCTGGTTCTTCGAGAAGCTTATTAGCAGGTGGGTTTATTCAGGAGGAACTTTTTGCATTACATCTCTTCCCACATTCAGCAGATCAGACACAGAGACCCAATTTCACCCTTGGTTTAACTTCACTCAAGTTGACGCGGAGGATGATTTTGACCCAGCGTTTCCAAATTCTTGACCACAGCCATTTTACCTGGATCTGAAAAGAGTTGTGATGGCAAATTAGCTGGTAGCAAAAGGAAGGAAGCCCCTGATTTAGCAGGTTTGTCAGGCAGAGGTTTTGTGCTGGATCATTGACTGAGCCAGCTAATCGCGGCACTGACACAGGGAAGGTTGTTCACCTCGAGACAGAATGGGATGTCTGTGCTCATTAGCTTCATGTCTTAACCCTTGTCTTTTATGGGTTCAGATTCAGGGGCTTGTTAGTAAACCCAAGATTCAGCTCTTGACAAGCTTCGCAGGATCGTGCATATTCTTTCCATAGACGGAGAGCAGAATGGGGAAAAAGGAAAAGGCAGTCAGCTACGACACAGTCTTTGGATGCATTTTTTTACTTCTTTGCAAAGCCAAGGGGTTTGATATCAATGCTCACCTCAAGGCCAGATGGAGATTGTATTATAATACTTGCAAGCATCTGGATCCATTGCAACATCGAATCATAGAAAATGAGGGCTGGAAGGGACCTCAGGAGGTCACATCTGGTCCAACCCCTGCTCCAAGCAGGACCAGCCCCAGGTACATCATCCCAGCCAAATATTTGTCTCAGTGGGTCCTCAAAGCCTCCAAGGAGGG